AACATTGCTTTTCCAACAATGAATTAATATCATTGTGTGCATCCCCATCAGACACCAGAATACCAGATCAATTTAATTATTTCTATAGGTGCTGGGCTTTCAATTTCGATCGGCAAAGACTTTTATTTTAGGCATCAAAAAAGTAAAATACAATTGTTTAGTTGTCAATTGAGGCCCTGTTTGGTTTGCAGGAATAGGGGTCTGGAATCAGAATTGAAATGGGCTATTTCGATTTCAACTGTTTGTTTAGACAAAATTGGAATCCCATTTTTATTCCTGTTAAAATGGTATTCTCCCATTTGAAAGAATAGCTATTCCCTGCCCTTCCCTTGAAAATGAAATTCTATTTTTATATGAATCAAACAAACTATAAAAATGGATTTTTTCAATTCCGACTCCAAGTATGAATCAAACGGACCCTGAGTGAAGTATATTAGTGTGATAAGCATTACAAGTCAAGCCACTTAGCTAATTAAAAGAAAATTGGAATACCTCAAACAAAAACAGAACAATCGTATACTGTGAAAACAAAAACAAATCTGCAATTGCCAAGAATCTAGTGTTCCATAGGTTATTGCCATAAAGCATCATTTCATTAGGGAAGCTGGTGAGAGTACTTGGAGTTTTGTAAAATGACCAAATTGCTCCCATCTTCATAAGGGCATTGACAAATAAGTTCTTTCATTTGATTATAACACAATTAATGTAAATCATGATTAACCATCTTATATAGATGACGACATGGCCTCCATATTCCAAATCACCAAGATTGCAATTATACTTACTGATGAGGAGCAAGTCGGGTACCCGAATTTGAATTTGAAGAATTCACTCATGTATCGGGCCGGGCTTTCGGGCCATCCAATATTGACAACTTCTCAATCCAAGCCCACCCAAATTGACCCAGGCTCCCTCGGTAGTCTCACTGCCACAAATTATCCCAAAATTTATGGCATACTATCAATCAATTCCTTTGACCATCTTTACATAATTTTTGTTCCTTGGTATTTTTTCAGCCCTTGAGAGTGACTACATGTGAATCTTTTGGTTTGTCATATTTCTATTAGTAGACATTTAGGTTATATTTGGTTTGGAGAAAAAAAGTAGGGAAAGAAAAGAAAATGTAAGGAAATTTTTACAAATCTTATATGGGTTTTGATACTTTTTTCTTCCTTTCCCTATTTTTTTCTTTAAACCAAACACAACCTTAATGACAGAACCATATATATCAATGTTTTTAAAACCGACCCGGAAATTGACCTGGTTTTTCCAATGGATCATGGGTCACCAGTTCGACTGGGCAGGTCAAATGGTTCAGTCCGGTGATATCATAATTAAAATACTAAGAAATTATATATTATATATACACACACACAGATATATATATATATATATATATATAACCTGTATAAATATCTAGAAAATGATGTAAAATTATAAATAGCTAAATAAATGTCTGAAATATCTTAAAACTTATAACAAATGCCTAATATTTATGAAAAATATATATCCAAAAATGCAAAAAAATGTGAGAAAAACTAAAAACATGTAAAAAGAGGAGGTGGGGGGGGGCTCGAGTTGGGACTTTTGGGTTGACAGTTGAACCGTTGCCCACTTACCAGGTTGCCGGTTTGACGGTTCATCCATACGGGTCATCCAATTCGCTGATTTATCAATGGTTTTTTAACAAATTCCAGATTTTATGAATATCAGACCCGAAAAATCAAACAGTTCAATCATCCGAGTCAACGGTGGGTTAAAAACCTTGATATATACTTTAAACTTCTAACCCTAATTGTATGATTAAAGTAAGATGAGACGTACACATCGTGGGTCAAAATTGAATTACCAGAGAGGTAGATATACGAAATAGAGTGGTTGTGAAGAAAAGAGTGAACTTGTAGGGCCAGTGGGCAGGTGACAGGAGAAGACCAAGACAGATTTTGATAGACTTTTTACGTGAGAAATGTAATAAATTCGTTATGTACGAGACATTAGGCATGAATATTATTTTGGATGTATTCTTGGCTTCATCATTTAATAACCATGTGTTTTCAAAAGACAGTTTCAGAACAGCTGAAGTGGCTGAATTGAATGAATTATTTCTTTTTATTTAAGAGGTTGTATAAGTCACTTAATGGCTGAAGCTGAAATTGAATTGATTACTATATCCATGAATATTCTATTAATTATATAATTTTATCTATTAAAAGATGAAGCAATAAGTTATTCAGTTCCGCCGCTTCAGCTGTTATCAAATAACTCCTTGGTCTTTATTGGTTTAGATTTCATAGTTTGAATGAAGGGGTAATCCACATCTATCCTGACTTGAATAATAGAAGGGTAATATTAAATCCATAGATTAAGCCCTCCCAACTAAACTCAATATTATATATGAAAAAGTACGAATAAGCTTAATACAGATTTTTGAATTCCACTTCAGACCTATAAACATTCAAAATGTTAAATACCCCTATTCTATACTAAGCTTTTGGGTTGACCCAATGATCTCTATGTATACTAAGCTTGTTTGCCAGGGTTGGACACCAATTGAACTAAAAATACTTAGTCTCAAAAGGATCATCCATGGACATAATCACAAAAACACTGAACCATAACTTTTGGGTGTTTTCTGTGTTTACATCCTGTTCTTTCATTTTCTTTTGGGGAAAATTGCTTAAACTTCCCCCTGTGTTTTCTGATAAATGTTGAAATCTCTTCTATACTTTGACCTTTGCAAAAATCTCTCTTTACTTTTCAAATAAATATGTAAGCACATATTCAAATTATTAGTATATATGGTCATGTTGTAAATGTGCATACATGGTAAACCTTAGTTGTTCTCTATTCAGATTGCCTGAGCATATATAGGGTGGGTTTCTACTAATAATGGAGGTTCAAGTTCAACTACAACTTAACCTTTGTTATTCATTCATTGAAGTGAGTAATGAAACCCATTTAAATTAGAGATGGCAATCTGACTGGGGGCTCCTATTTGCCCTGCCCCAGTCGAGGCATATTTTTTACTATTGATCGGGTTCGGGATGGGTTCTGTTTAAAAACCCGAAACTTTGGTGACCGGGGTCCACCTCACCCGGAGGCTGCCCAAATAGATAATGTTATGATATGTGTATAATATAATGTGAAATTTTAATTTATTTTATTTATAAATATTATAATATGACACCTATAACATTATATAATATTTTATATATAATATAAAATATTTTATTCACTTGAATGGGGTTGGGGGGGTGGGATGGGGCGGGGCAGGATAAATTTGGGGATCCCTATTTCTCGTGGGGTATAGGTAAGGGTGTCAATGGACCGGTTTTGGATTGGACCCCGTCCAGCCCAAAATCAATTTAGACGGATTGAACGGACCAATAAGACATATTGGATTGGACCAATCCAGTCCAAAATACTTATTAGATTGGATTAGGCCTGTTCCATCTGTAACAAATTTATATTGGATTGGGTTGGATTAAACCAATATTTGATCCATTGATATAAGATAAGATATATGTGCAAATGGACTGGGTTTGGGTTGAAACCAATCTAAATCATAATGAATTTGAACAGATTGAATGATCCAAATATTGAATTAAACCAGTCCAAATTATTTCAAAACATTCATTGGATTGGATTGGATCTGATCCATTTATAATGGACTCAAATTGGACTAGATCGGATTGGACCAAAGTATGGGGCAGAGATGAGGGTAGGCAAAAACTGGCCCCGGCTCACCCCGCGCCATTCCTATAAAGGATAATTTTCTTGAACAAGAATAGGATTTTAAAATCTTAGAACATAGTATAGAATATACTATGTTCAATTATTTGTAAAAAAAGGGAAAGTTTAAGTGATTTTCCCATTCTTATAGTTCCCCTTCACAACAAGGTAAGAAATATTATTTCTACCTGCATATAGCCCTTACAATGTCCCCTAACATGACAACTTTCTTTAGAGAAGATAGGTGTTACAGGGTTAGGTTATATGTCTCTTTACATACAGAGAATTTTCTACAAATGGTCGATGCATTAAATAAACAATTGCAAATCTTCAGCCATTTTCTCTTTTGCATAATTCTTTTGTTTGGTGATCAAATAGCTTTTTTTCACACAAAGAGCACAAGATAATCAAACCCAATTGAGTAAAGAGAAAGGGCCCACCATAGAGCAGATCTTATAGATTGTTTGCACCCACATTCAGTAGGATTGGATGATCTCAACCATACCTTTCCAAAGCAAAGACCAGAGATTCTATTAGGTTATGTTTGGTTGGAAGGAAAAAAAGTAGAGAAAGGAAGGAAAAGGCAGAGAAACTTATATATGGTTTCTAAAGCTTTCTTTACCTTTCCTTACTTTTTCCTTTAAATCAAACACAGACCACCTAACTAGCTTAGACATCTGATGGCTAGATTAAAGTAGTGTTTGGTATGGTTTATTTATCAAATAAATGGTGGTATATCATCACCAAATCAGTATTTGTTCTATTATAGGGTTTCGTATGCTTAATTATAGATAACTTTTTGCTCTTGATTTACGTGCATGGGAAAGTTTCATATAAATGCTTAATTGTTTTGATGAGATGGCACCTAATAGTGCTTAATTGTTAATAAATTATAGCAAAATGTTTATCAACCATTTTTCGGTTTTGAAGACAAATCAAATACTAATAAACGGAAGCCAAAACTCATCTCATCTTGACAGTGTTTGTGATGATTTCTTAGGCGAGACCTATTGGATAATGGGTCCAGACAGATTATCATAGGGTACCCTCATTGTAACATTTCCCAGTCCTAATATCACATGCATACGAGTAAACAATCAACGATGTGGCCCTTGTTGACAACTGGCAAGCTTGCTTATAACCAGTCAATTGGAGCTCTGTCTCCCATTGGTCAACAAGTCTGAAAACCAAAGCAAGAAGGATTAGAAAAAGGCATAAAATGGCAGATTCAACGTCAAGGAACTCTTCTTCTTTGGCTATTTATGCAGCCAAAGAAAGAAAAGTCTTGGTGAGGAAAGACAACAAACATCAACAATGGCCGGAAATCAAGTGATCTTCTCGGATTTTCTCATGTCTTTCATCTGTGTATGGTCAAGAACTCTCAGCAGCCTGTTTGTAAACAATTTTCTAGGGTTTAAGTCGGATCCCAGAGGAGAAATAATCAAGGGCATTCTATACGTGTTGAGGTTGTTCTTTTATGGATGGTTGAGTAAGATATTGAGAGGTGCGTCTTATAATCCTCTCACAGTGTTGTCTCAGGCCATTTCTGGGAAGCACAGTAGGCTCTTTTTCACTCTTGGTGCAAGAATTCCTGCTCAGGTTAGCTGCATGTTTCTATGTTTTTTTATAGATTAATTAAATTCATTGGGTTTCTGTTGATTCTTGCATGGATTTGATATGATTAATTGCGGTTTGTTCTGGTCGAAGTTGAATGAATGATGGTTAACTTGTTGCTCAATTTGAGTCTTGTTTTCATTGGTTTAATTTCTTTCAGTAATTCGTTTTCTGAATTGGGTTTTATTTGTTGAGTGTGGACATTAATGGCTTATATATGCCAATTCTGGCTTTTGTTTTCTTGGATGATCCCAGCAGATATGGTTGATCATTTATTATTCTCATGTTTTCTCAATAAGCTCTGAACTCTAAAGTTTGGTGTTCCTTAACCCAGAGCTTTTAGCTTCTGGGAGAGAAGAGAAAGCCTTAAGAGGCTGTAAATGATGCACTGTGTATGTTTGTGGCCTTGTGGGTTGCTACATTAAGAGCCTGAGTGTGCAAGATTTACATTCCTATGGCTACCATAGAACTACTGGTAGTGGTACCCAGAAAATGTTTAATTATGTGACGAAGAATTATTGCTCATTATTAAATTTTATTGAACTTGTCAAAATGTCATACTTTTTTGCTCAAGCCATAAGTCACAAACTAAGAGTATAGAAAGGTCTTTTTAAATAAAAAAAATATAATAATAAAATAACTATTCAATTATTCGTAAAAAAATTCCTATTCAAGTTAAAACTTAGGTGCGCTACTTGTTTGGTGCATGCAAATAGGGTACCAGTTTTGAAAATAAAAGAGAAACAGATAGAAATTGAGTGAAATTTCTTAATTAACAAATAGGGAAAGTTGTCAAGGAAATTAAGGCCCCGTTAATAGGGGTTAGGAATCGGAATTGGAATGGGCTATTCCAGTTCTAACTGTTTAGTTGAGCAGAATCGGAATCCTATTCCCATTCTGGGTGGATTGGCATTTTCCCATTTGAGGGAACGGCGATTCCCTGCCCCTTCCTTGGGTTGAATGAAATTTCATTGCTGTCGGTTCCAATTTTCATTCCTATTCCTGTATGAATCAAATGGGAATAGACCATCCCGACTGATTCTAATTCCAAAAGATTTTGATTCGGATTCCAGCAAAGGAGGGACCATGACTCCCATGGTTCCCCCTAGCTCTGCTCCTAGTTGAGCGAAAGTTTTTGGTGCACTGAGCCCTAGTTTTTAAGCTAGATTCATTTAAACCAACTGTTGGTGGCTCAGTTCATAGGATCTTTGACTGTTGGAATAGAGACCGGGGATCAAATCCTGCTACCCCACCAGGGTTGGGGGATTAAGGGAGGGGGATGGGCAACCCCTCCTTGTGTAGTCTCCATGAAGCAAAAAAAATATTGCTAAATCAATCCCATACAAAATACACTCTTGTTAAGGAATTTCACATAATTCCCTTCACATTTTTCCTCGACTTTCTATTTTTCTCTTATTATTTTCTATCAATCTAAGCATATATAGCTTTAATGATCTTGCCTTAATTGTATTTGTTTATTAATTTAGACGTTGCAAGGATGGAGACAATATATATACCTGATTTACTTTCATCTCATTTGGTTTGATTCTTACTTTTTTTAAGTAGTTTTCTTTTTAATTAATCTTCATTTACTTCTATGTCAATGGGAATTACACCCATTCACATGCATAAAGCCCAAATATTAAAATGGGAGAATGACTGTTCAACACACCATGAGAATTCTTAGCCCCACTGTACAGTTGGGGTAGATGCCAAATTGAAATTGATGTCAACTCACAGGTGGCTATTGGTGTTTTAGGGTGGGAGTACTTATCATTTTGAATTATATAGAATTGTAATGGAATTTAGAATTCTGTAGTTGGGTGCAATGTATTTTTTCATTAAATATATCAAGCGCACAAGTTTGACAAACTTGTACCTTGTTTCCAGCACTCCAATGCATGTTCAATCAACTAACAACTATGATAAATGGAAATAGATATATTTTAATATGGAAGAAAGCAACTCTAAACTGTACACTCCATGGAGGACCATTTGGATTGGCTAAATGTTCAAATCAGTTCTAAATCCCACTTTGTATTCTAAGTCTTCCCGGACAAATACTAGTCATGAAAATAATAATTATTTTTCTGATGGAGAATTTGATGAGAAAGAAGAGATTATTATTTGGCAGGTAGCAAGGAGTTAACCTCTGCTGTGACTGTCCTTGTGACCTTTCAATAAAATATGAACACGCTAGCATTTGCATGTGACCATTGTCACAGCAGAAAGAGAAGACAAATAAGTTAAACCCTTAGGCTGTGTTTGATTTGAAAGAAAAGGGTAGGGAAACCCATACAAGGTTTGTATAGGTTTTCTTATGGTTTTAAAAATTGAACTGGACTGAATGGTTGGAACAGTTGACCTGAGAATCGGTCAGGTAATCAGTTTTGTTTCACCCTAAATTAAAACTGCTCATGGGCCAAAAGCTGTTTTTAGCTGAATGGTCGAACTGTGTTGATCCAGATAACAGTTTTTAGTCATTTTTTTATTTTATTTATTTCTTTACTTTTTAAGTTATGGGCTGTCTGTTTGAACCAGATGATCAGACCGTTTGACCTAGGAACTGGTGACTAGAACAGTTTCATATGTCTGGTCCGGTTTTTAAAACCTTCGGTTTCCTTACCCTCTCTTCTTTCTCTTACCTTTTCTTTCAAACCAAACACAGCATTAGGGATCATTTGGAGAATCTCTATAAAAGACTCGGGTTAAAGGTCATTCACCACAAGATACTATAATTGTACACCAAAAACATCTCCTGTACTTGTATGTTGTCATTCATGGAAGATGCTTTTAGATGTATGGCTAAACTGCCTTATGGTAGGGTGTGGGTAGCAGCCCCGGGTTCAAGTAGCTAGCTTTTCTACACGAATTAATCTATTTTTTCCTTGTGGAGGGATCTTATGACCAATCTAGACTATACATCAAATAGAAAACCATTCGATTGATCACATGTTCGATCCCAATGTCCATGTTTCTATATATTATTTTGCATTGGTGGTTTTGATCGTGTTGAATACCTCTTGGTTATGTTTGGTTTGAAGGAAAAGTAAGGAAAGAAAGAGAAATGTAGGAAATCTTTACAAACCTTGTATAGATTTCCCTTCCTTTCCCTACTTTTTCCTTCAAACCAAATACGACCCTAGTGGATAGTTGCAGCATGACAAAGTCTTTTGGGAGAGGAATTTAGAGATTTCTCTTGAGCTCTAGACTACTTTTCCATGTGGAAGAAAATCAAATCCATTTGAATTTTGAAAAGCATTAAGATTAATTACAAGGAAACAAAGTCAAATAAGAAAAAGGAGGGGGAGAAATAACATAGCCTGCTCGGTTTTGACCCATTCAAAGACAGAGACAATAGAAATAATTACTTTCTAAGTTTATAGAATGAATGGCACAAAATGACATATTTGAACTAATAGCAGCAAAAAACAATTTATTTAAGGATCAGATAATAGGGACTGATAGTAAGAGATGGCCGCTTATGGTGGGTCTCTTGGAAGTAGAAGATGCTTTTATTTCTCTTCATATATTCTTTTGAATAGGGATGATAAAGCATGTAGGAAAGATGGATTTTTCCCTTCTTCTTCTTTTACAATTAGTATTGTTTTATGAAGTCAATTTCAAGTAAATAAAGATTAATATGGAATTTTACAAAAGGGAACCAAAAGTGTGTTTCTTATTAAACTTATTTCTACATATTTTAATAAATTAATTATATGGGACCCAAATATAACAACTATAAAGTATTAAGTAATAATATGAACAACCTCTCACAAACCTTAACCCCCTTTACACCTAAAACCCTTCTCTTTCAATATGTTTTCTCTCGTATAGAACTCTAGAAACAGGTGCAATATATATGGGAATGGGACCCAAATATATAGAAACGGATTGGGTCATGGTCCAAAATACCTGACAGACCAAGGATTAGGTCATGGAGCCGGCCTCAACCAGGAATTCAAGGCACGTACATAACAACTTCATTAAAGAAGAACCAAACTTCATAGACTTAACATCACACTTAATTAATTGTCTAATTAATAGTATTTTGTTTTAAGAAATAATTTACTTGAAGAACAGCTGGTGGTGTTTTTTATTAATAAAATCCTCAATCTCACTAGAGATTATTTAGTTCCCATATAACCAACCAATTCCCCAAGCCAAAATAAATAAACAAATAACTAAATAAATAACATGAAACAATTATGGAAAGGCTGCTTTTGATGCAAGAGGAAATACGCTGTATTCTCTTCATTAATGGATGTGTGTTTTCTTAAAATTAAGTTACATAGAAATTATACAACAGCTTACACACTAAAGAAGTAAAGATTGATATTTGAAAAAAAAAAAAAAAAACTTCTTCCAAAGATGTTGAATCATTTGGTCTACTAAAATTTGAAATAGTGGATTCAATTTTACTAAGTTTTGGACTTAATTTCAGGTAATGGGAGCTATTATTGCAACAAATCTTATCCTTCGGATTTTTCCTCATATAGGCTATGAACCACTCCTGAAGGTTGACATGATCCGAGGTGTATTAATTGAAGGAGTTCTGGCATTCGCAGTTATAGTAATTAGACTTGAAGCTACTCAGAACCACCCTAACAATTTCTTTCTAAGAACATGGATATATAGCATCTGCAGGCTAGCTCTTCACATACTTGGTTCTGGTCTGACTGGTGGATGCATGAACCCTATTTCTGTAAGTAATTTGAAAGAATCTAACGTTTTTAAAACCGAACTGGATAGGGAATCATTCTGGGGATCGGTTTTTTTTGTCAAATGTCCAACTGTCTGATTTGAATGGATGGTCTATTTTGACAAAAAAATAATAATAAATAAATAACGGCAAAAAATCATTGTCTAGGTCAACGATTCAACAATTCGATCACTCGATCAACAATTTGTCAATCAAATCAATGTTTTTTGGCGAAAATACAGTTTTGGGGTGAAACGGAATTGATCGAATGACCGGTTTCTGATTTTTCTGGTCTGACCGTCTGGTCTGATCCAGTTTTGAAAACCATGGAAAGATCAATGGTTATGAGGCAGCATTTTTCCATTTTCTAGATTTCGATATTACAAGTTTCAATATTGTTAATTAATTATATTTTACTTATGCAGGCTATAGGAAGGGCTTATACTCGAGGAGATCATATAACTAAGGAGCTTATATTTGTTTATTGGTTAGCCCCATTTGAAGCAACTGTTGTAGGGGTGTGGACATTCAGGTTGTTTATTCAGATCAAGGAAAAGAAAGAGGACAAACTAGATAGAAAAATTAAATCAGAATAAGGAGAGTCATTTTCTTGCATTGGAATTTCATTTGTGCCTAACTCATTTATAGGAGTCCAAATCTGTTGTAGCCCTACTTGTAGTCCCTTTAATTGTTGGAGCTCTAAGAACTGAAATTTGTTGTGTCAATGATTGTTGAAGAAACTGGAATGACCTGGGAAGTGTATAATATCCTATCACAATGGGAGGGAAGTTGGATTGGGCCCAACCCAACCATAATGGTATAGGGATTTTAGGTAGGGTTAGGGTTAGGGTTGATTAGGTTGGTTTCAAGATCGATTTGGATTAGGGTTAAGTTTGGGGCCTGGGGGTTTATATCTTTGGGTTTGGAACTTGTACACCTAATTTTAAGGATTCTTCAATAAGGTTAAATTTGTTTCCTTTAGACTATGTTTGGTTTAAAGGAAAAAAGTAGGGAAAGGAAAGAAAAAGTAGAAAACCTTGTATGAATTTTTTTACTTTTTCCTTCAAACCAAACATAGCCTTAGGGACCATTCGCTTGTTTGTTGGTAAATGGAGGGGGTAAAGTTGACCAACATTTCTCCATTTTCTTTTCAATAAAGGTGGGTCCCGTGATAAATAAAGTTCTCCTTCCTATCAGGCAAAGTTATCTCAAGATTCTATGATGTAATATCAATCAATTCTTTTGATCATCTTTTGGTTTGTCATATTTCTCTCACTAGAGACTATACATTTAATCATGGTTTTCAAAACTGGACTGGACCAGATGGTCGGATCAGAAAAATTGGGAACCAGTCCGTCCTGTCTCTCTCAATCCAAGTTTCGTCAATCAATTATTTAAGGAGCGTGAATCAAACATTTGAACACATAAGTTTCGAAAATCACTATTGTCTCTCTCAATCCAATCTGTTGCTGTCTCACAGAAGGTTTCTTTGGAGACTCTTCAACTTTGATGGTTGCAGATTCTCGTCCAAGGCTATGTTGTATCCTGAGAACAGATTTGCCTATAACCTAACAACAAACTCAATGAAACTGAGTGAGGGTAAATAATGTTCTAAAGACAGTGTCTTCAGACGTGCCTCAGAGCTTCTCCTCCAAGTTTCAGTGACCCCAATTCCCAACAGAGGTGATGGTTGCTACTTCTAAACTTAGCCATCGAAAATGCAAAATGGTGGCATGGTGCGGTTTCTTTTTGATTTGGGTTCCTGTGAAGTTGTTGCAGTTGTGTCATCTTCGGAACTGCTCCAATCGGAGTCAAATAAGGGGGAGAGCAATACCAACTTGGAATCGAAGCCCTTGACTGAATAATCAGAAAATTGGGATTCGATTCAGTTGAGAGAGCGTGAGACAACAATAAAAGCATGAGCACAAGATATATTATTGTTTTGAGCATCGTGCATTGCTAGAACTGAAATGGAAAATAGAGACAGAGGTAGAGATGGAGGCAGAAACGGAGGTAAAAACAAAAACGGAAAATGGAGACGAAAGCAGAGCCAGAGCCAGAGACGAGATGGAAAACTAAGATAGAGACGAAGATGGAGATGGAAACGAAGATAGAGACGAAAAACGGTGACAGAGATAGAACAACAATTTGCTTCCTATCTTCTTGAAAATTTCCATCTGTTAGGTTTTATTTAAAAAAATTGAAAAATATAGAAAACAAATTTGACATTTCGTTCTTTCCATTAACACTTGATAGTAATGTCAATTGTCAGAAACAGTAAATGTGGTGCAAGTAAATTGTTAAACTATAAAGATAGAGTTAGGCAATTATCTAAACCACATAACAATAGTGCAAGACAATAATTACAGCCATGTGAGGCTGCAATGCACTGTGGGCAGAGAGAGAGTGAGTAGGAAAACTGGGCTCTGCAAGAATGGATGTCTGATTTACTTTCATCTCATTTAGTTTTCTGCTTACATTTTTTTTGTTAAAATAATTTTCTTTTTAATAGTCTTCATTTATTTCTATATCATTGGGGTGTACATCCATGACATAAAAGCCCAAATATTTAGATATATCAAATGTACAAGTTTGACAAACTTGTACGTTATACCCAGCAGTACTATAATGCATGTTCTATCAATTAACAACTATTGAAGGTTGATGCAATTTGATAAATGGAAATAGATATTTTAATATGGAAGAGTAGCTAAACTTGTACATCTGATATAAATATTATTTTAAAGAAGGTTGATGCAATAAAATAAATATTAAGGTTGATGCATTATATACTATCCTTGGAGGACCATTTGGATAGGCTACATGCTCTATGATTTATTCAAATCAGCTCTAAATTCCACTTTGTATTCCCAGTCTCTCTCCGACAAATATTTAGTCATTGAATATAATAATTTTTCTGACGGAGAACTTGCTAAGAAAGAAAAGATTATCATTTGTCAAGTGGCAGGGAGGTTACGTCTGCTCGGTCGCAGGACTTACTTGTGAGCTTTCAATAAAATAAGAGTTTCCTTATTTATTATTGGTGTTCACGGTTTGGTTAATCAAATCGTGGGCTTCTTTGGAAAATCGGTAATCAAAACTAAATCAAAGCCAATCAGTTAATAAGTTAATCGGTTTAATCGTCAGTTTGGTTTATTAATTTTTTGATTTTTTAATTTTTACAATATATTATAAAAATGTATATAAATATATTAAAATATTATATTTTAAAGAATAAATAATATATATAATATAGAAATATATATATATCAGTCGGTTCGATTAATCGATGGTTTTTTATATTGATTAGCTAAAACCAAATTGACCGATCCAATTAACCGATTTTTTTATTCGATTTCAATCAATTCAGTTTTATTTATTCACCCCTACTTTTTCCTTCCTTCCCCTACCTTTTTTTTCAAACCAAACACAGCATTAAGAATCATTTGGAGAGTCTCTATAGAAGACTCGGGCTAAAGGTCGCCAACTTGACTCGAGTGAACTCGGCTATGCTATCTGCAGCACGTTATGTATGGACACCCTACCATACATGATACTATAATAATTGTACACGAAGAACATCTCCTGTACTCATTCATAAAAGATATTCCAGATATACGGTTGTAATGCCTTGCGGTAGGGTGTGGGTAAAAGCCCAAGACTCAACACAATTGAGACAAGTAGCTAGCTTGGTTGCAGCATGACAAAGTCTTTTGGGAGGAATTTAGAGATTTGTTTTCAAATTTGAGCTCTAGGCTATTTTTCCATGTGGAAGAAAATCAATCCATTTCAATTTTAAAAAACATTAAAATTGATTACAAGGAAACACAATTTTAGTAATGTACTTTCTTTGAGAGAGAGGAATATGAATAGAGGATTGGGATACCTTGATACCAAGGAAGTAATGAATGTCAGATCTTTGATAGAAAACACAATTAATGGCCATAGCTGAGATGAGATTGGAAATGGCTAAAGGAGATGAACTCATCACGATAATATCATCAATATAGACAAGGATGAAGAGAGTCTCATGGCTAGAAAGATGGATAAAAAGAGATGAATCCACAATAGAAGAATGAAATCAAATGTGAATGAGGAAGCTAGTGAGCTTATCATACCAGGCTCGATGAACTTATTTAAGGCCATACAAGACTTTGTGCAAGATCCAACACATGATGGGGCTTCTGAAGATCAACAAAACCAGGCATTGAGTCATATAGACCTCCTCCTGGAGCATGGTTTTTAAAATCAGACCGGACCGGACGGTCGGACTAGAAAAATTGGGAATCAGTCAGGTGATTGGTTCCGTTTTCCCTAAAAACCGGATTTTCCCCCAAAATCGTTGATTTTGATCAGTAAACCGTTGAACCGGGCGATTAACTGTTCGAATGGTTTTAACCGTTTTTTATTTTTTAAAATTTTTTTAATATTTTTATTTTTTTTAGAACGGGCCAAGTGTTTGGTTCGAACGGTCATACCATTCAGCCCGGTAACCGGACTCCTGACCGGTCCAGTCTCCAGGTCGGTTTTAAAAACCATGTCCTAGAGTCCTCCATGTAGAAACGTTGTAGTAACATTCAATTGTCATAAAACCCAGCCACGAGAAAGAGCAACATGTAACATCACTCGAAGAATAACAGGTTTCATAACCAAACTAAAGGTGTTTGTGTAATCAAGTCCTTCACACTAATACTGTGTTTGTTTTGAAGGAAAAAATAGGGAAAGGAAAGGAAATCTTTAGAAACCTTGTCCCTACATTTCCTTTCCTTTTTCTACCTTTTCCTTCAAACCTAACATAACTAAGGGTAGACCTTAGCTATAAGATGAGCTTTGAAACGCTTCCATCTGGATTATGCTTTATGCGAAAAATCCATTTTCATCCAACTGTGGAGGCAAGGAGCAAAGGAGTCGAGTGCCATTGCTTTGAAGTGCATTGATTTCACCTTGCAGAGTTTGAGGGACAGTACATATTTGGTGGTAAGAAAGAGTTTGGATTTTCGGGACCATCAAGGAACAAGTGATCATAGTGTGAGTACAAAACTACAAACAACCTGTGACACATGCATTTTTAAGTAAGAGATAAATTAAAAATTTTAAAGGGTGCAAATCCATTTTGCAACATTGAGGAGGGGTCCTTCGTCTCAATTAGAGGTCTAAATCGGGCTGTGCCATTCATGGCCCGATACGAACTTGGACCGGCCCGGTATTATCATGCGGGCTGTGATGGGCTTGGGGTTTTAAGTTCACGGGCCGACACGGCATGATACGACCGAGCGAATAATAATATATATAATATATTAATAAAATAAGTATATTTTAATTTTATTATACTAATTTATTTAATTATTGTATATATAAAAGCAATTTTATACATAAAATTTATATAAAAGCAATTTTATACATAAAATTTATATAAAATTAAAATTTTAAGTTATTTGTTAATTTTTTTTAAATAAATAGCTTTGGCGTGATGCACGGCCTGACTTAGCATAAGGCTCGGCCCACAAGCCTGCACGGGCCTGGGCCATGGGCCTTACCAAGCCAACCCCCAAATTTTTCACCAGGGAGGGTGACACGGCCCATGACGACCCAGAGGCTAACACAACACGACCCACTTTACACCTCTAGTCTCAATTTCCAAGGAAACAAAGTTTCATATACATGAATTTGCATCTAGTACACCAATGCTTGTAGCAAAATCTTGTGACCACCCAACATCGTGTCC